ACAATAATATATATATAAATACAGTATATATTTTATATCGCGATTTATTGAGAATAGTGATGGGCAAAACCGATCTTTTTAAAAATCAGATTAGAACAGCTCATTCACTGGAAAGTCCTAATTCTTTTTCAAGCCTCACCATTCACTTGTACAGCATTTTAAAATCGCTAGTCTGACGCCAAAATGATTATGATGAAAATAAATTATACAAGTAATATAAAATGAAGTAATTTAAAAGCACGAATGTTCTTTTATACACACACACACACAAAATACAAACATCTACTGTCCTTACTGCGATGAATAAATATATTGGGAGGGCTTGGGTCATCAGTGGTGAATCCTCCCAGCGGTTTCGCCAATTTAATCCACCAGACCGCTTCTAAGAGCTCTAATACTGTAATGGACGATTCTGCTTATATACGCAGAATTGAAGGATGGAATCTCAGAAATAGTTTTAAAGAAAATTATGGACATAAGCTTATAGGACAGTAGAATTACATTCAAATATTTCCATCTAGCAATGCTCTTCCGCAAACAATAAAGACAACGCCAGTTAGGAATAAATTAACACAAAGCAATAACGCGCCATCTATACATATTAAATGAAAGGATTTAAAAGCACGAATGTTTCTTTTATACAAAATAGCGATCTGGTGGATTAAATTGGCGAAACCGCTGGGAGGGTTCACCACTGATGAGTCAAGCCCTCCCAATATATTTTTTCATCGCAGTAAGGGCAGTAGATGTTTGTATTATGTATAAAAGAAACATTCATGCTTTTAAATCCTTTCATTTTATATGTATAGATGGCACGTTATTGCTTTGTATACAAGTAATGTACAAATACTTGTAATGATGTTGTAAATCTTCTTTCTCTGCCGTTAGTAGAACAAGTATTCATCTCTTGTATAGATGCAAAATTCTGTCGATTTTTCCACATCAATGTGGGGAAACTATTATAGCGAGATAATGATTATTATAAAGATAAATTAGCCAACTTTAAATATAATTTTAGTAAAATAGTTTTACGCTGTATACACTTAGGTAAAAATGCTTTCATGGGAAACTTGGACTTTAGGCCATTATATAATATTCTTAACAATATTCTGTCCCCTCTTTAGCCTGGAGCAAAAATATTTTGTTAAAATAAATTAGCATGATAAACTAAATATTGTAGCAAATTATTTATTAGATTTTATGTATAGATTATTAATTTTTATATTTATATTATTTATATTTCAGTGCTCTGGAAACTTCCTTCATTGCTTCTCTTGTATCTTATAAATGTTGATTTTGTGCCTTGAATAAATTGCTACGTGAGCCTGAAGTTTGTCTTTCCTAATTTTATACCAGACAATATATATAGATGTGCATTCCTACGCCCAATATGCCCTCGTATATGCAAATAAATCAATATTCACACAAATGATTTCTACGCGGTTTTGTCCTAATAGTAACGACTTGAGTGAAAAGCGGTTTCAGGCATTTTGCAATTGTAGTTTTATAAATTGATGCCAAATAAATAAGGATCTATGTGCATCCCTATATATATCGTTTTTAAAAAAATATGGCAATCCATGCTCAAATATTTAAGTACAGGAAGCCTAAATATTAGCAAATAAGCATTTTTATTCAATACAATATATGTCTTTTATTATTTAATATATATATATATATATTATATTAAAATATTATTCTATTTGAAATTACATTTCATAGATCCAAATACTCTGTTAAATCGACCGCCAGAGGTCATGCTTCCCCTATAAAAACTCGTTGTTGTTCTTCCCCATCCTGGCCTCACCTGGCGATGATACCCTGGCCACCCATACCCAGGCCCCTCCAACTGTGCTTTGTATATATTCCGCTTTATGCGTCCATCGGGGCTCAAAAATCATTCATTTTGGTTAGCAGCCCCGTAAAATAAAGATATTTTCTCTTTTCCCCGATGGCCGGCTCAAAACTTTTGTACATTATGTAAATAATATTTTGTTTCCCTAATTCTACTCGCCTTAAGCTCTAGGCTTTACTTTTATCAAACTGTGTTTTTAAATATATTCCTTTAGCGCAATTAAAGCTTTTTTTGATAACTAATTTCATTTAATTATTGCCACGACTGTTCAACAAATATCTCTATTCTCAAAATGATTAGCATCAAGTATTAATTCTATATAACTCTAATAATCAAAATACAAGCAGAAAATCTCTATTTTTTTCATAAAATATATATATATTAAAAATATGAATAATATGGGAAATAGGTTTAATGTCCATTGTCCTGAAACATTTGTGAAAAATTACACAGCAGTTAATATACCATTCTGCTTTAGTTTTACCCTGGAAGCCATGAGATGTGTATCTATACCCAACCTATACCAAGCAGCCTGCTAGAGGGAGGAACATCTATCAGAGGGCTGGGTGTTGTATTCCATGAGAATTGCAGTAATGAGGTAGATAGTGGCAGCTTTTCTCGTGTTACCCGCTGAGGTTTTCAATTTCGCCACTAAGGCAAATTTCCTTTTATTAGCTCTGCCCATATACTATGGTATTCAAGAGTAGAATATTGCCACATATATGAGAACTTTCATATATTTATTATATTAATATAATATATATATGTTATATAAAGGTATTATTTAAAATGTTAATATCATAAATTCAAATATTCAGTTAAGTCAACCGCCAGAGGTCGCGCTTTGTTTAAATAATCCGTTGTTGTTGTTTCCCGATGGCCAGCTCAAAACTTTTGTACATTATGTAAGTCATCTTTTTTTTACTTGTTCTACTCGCCTTAAGCCAGGCAGCACTTTTATCAAATTAGGTTTTTTTTTAAATATATATTCCATAAGTTCAATTAAAGCAATATCAATCAGAACTATTTTATTATTATACTTTCAAGATTTTTAACCACGCGACTGTATTAACATAGTATAATCCTCAAAATTATCAAAATTCAGGCCGAAAATATTTTTATTCATAATATATATCTATATATATAAAAATGAATGTTTGTATGTTTGTTGGTTTGTATGCCCGGTATACAAATTCGCAGTAGTTCACTAATTCAAACCAAAATTTCCATACATAGGTAAAAAATAACGGGGATGACGATAGGCTATTTTAAAAAATATATAAATCAATTATTAAAACTATATATTCAAATTATTCTACTAAGTTCACGAGCAGCGCCCTCTAGAACGCTCAGGCGACCTGCCGGCGACGGGCGGTCGCGTGTCACGATTTTGCGTGTCATCCTTGCGCAGGGGCCATGCTAATCTTCTCTGTATCGTTCCAATTTTAGTATATGTACCGCCGAACAAGCGTGTACGTGTAAGCGGGCGGTCGCGTGGAACAGCCCTCGCCGACAGCCATGCGCGCGCACAGGGAAGTCACGTGCTCGCCGGCAGCCAACGGGCGCGCGCCGCCGGCAGATTGCCTGAGCGTTCTAGACGAGAAGCTTTTTCTTAATTACAATGCAAGCCTTAACTATATTTACAGGTTTTCTAATTTATAACTATTTCACATATTTACATATATATTTTCATTTTTTGCTATAACTGATCTAATCCGCCGTTTAAAATAACGGCTCTTGCTATATTTGCTATGTTTTATTTTCCTATATTTTATGTGTTTGAATAATACATTTAATCGTGTAAACCCGGGCCATTCGTCTAGTATATTATATAATCTAAAAACTCAAATATTTCTATATTTTAAAAAATATATATTTTATTTTTATTCATTGATAATTTTACTTTTGTTATCATCGTTTTAGAATGACTTTCAGTTTTGTTGTAAATATGCGTAGTTAACATATCTACCCTTTTAAATCACTAATATAGGATTACCTTTATAAATTCTATATAATGTGAAAATAACTAATGTGTAATCTTTCCTCAAGTAATTGAAAATAAAAGCTACTTGACAGTAAATAATTATCTTTTTCTTATCACGACTGCACCTCAACCCTTTATCTTATCGATCATTTGTCTTATCAACCCTTTATCTAACAACAACAAATTATTTATGACATATATAAAAGGAATAGACACGGTAGAAAAGAGGTGTAGATATTATATGGCTATTATTTGTTTGGTAAAAATGACCCAGGAATACTTTTCTGTTATAATATAGAAACCATTTTTCCCAAATGTAATACGATACAGAAGATGAGACATAATATATTTGGAATACTAAATGGTAATGGTGTTTAAATTTCAACAATTTGTTTATTCGAAAAGTGGGTTTATATAATATTATTCATGTTTAATAAAGTTTCATATATATATATATAATTTATGAAAACTAACATTAATGAAAATATATAAACAGGTCTAAGATATATATATATATATTATTATAATTAAAAATTACATTGTTTTTATATTTTAAAAAAGGGCGTGTGTGTTTTGTGTGCCTGGATCTGTGAAAGTGAATAGTTTTATTTTTCTCAAATATTTCGAGGAATTTCTTTCCTCTTTATCAATTAAGTGCACAATACACTAAAGGTAATTTAGGTTTTGACTCAAGCTAAATTGTTTTACCTTATCAAAAGTTTATTTTCTTAGAAATATTCCTTAAATATATTTAATTCGCTTTTATATGGATTTTTATCTTATCATACACATCATTCTTTGTAGAAAAATTATATTTCTGTAAATAAATCAAGAAAGTATAGCGAATATATACGGAAACTAACATGTGAAATCTACAAACTGTGGAGGTATAGGTCTGAAGATATATCTAACAGACATTAGCCCCTGGTAGCGGCTACCTTATATAGAGGTATTGAGAAATAGCTATTATATTATCAACATGCTCAATGAACTGCCATGATAGTCATTGTGAAACTAAATTTAAAGATTATCCCGCATGTGTTTCTTTTAAACGAAAATTCAAAATTTATTTTAAGGAGAAATATCTATTATTTCTAACCTTAGGGATGAGGTATGAAAGGATGAATTGTGAAAAGTAATGATAAACGGAAAAATAAAAGTGTCCAGGAATGGGAATCGAACCCACAGTGTTCCGCTTACCGGGCAGATGCCATGTCCACTAAGCTACCCTGGACGTATTTTTCCGTTCGTAAATATTATATAAAGTAACTTATAATACAATATAATATGATAGTCATTACTCAGGTAAGAAATCAACTCTGAAGTCAACATCGGTGGTCATGTTGCTTCAAGTTTTGGAATTCAATTACCAGTTTTCAGCCCCCTCTGTTCTCCGTTGGTTTCTGCGAGCATCGATCAGACTAATGAGAAAGCTTGGTCGCCTAATTAATGGCAGGATGGTAATTGAGATTTATTTTCGGACTCTGCGGCCTTGTTCAGGTAGAGAATTGGAAGGGACCGCAGTCTTGTGTCGTCCTGTATAAAATAATTATGTCGTGTGGGAAATATTTCTTCTCGCGGGAATTTCCAGTGATTGCTCTCTTTAGAACAAAGTTGAGAGGCCTGAGATCATTGTTGGCGCATAATCAAGATTCTGTGGTTATAAAGAGCTGAAAACGAAAGATTGCGGTAAAGTTTCCGATATTATTGTCCTAAATGGAGGATTGTGTGGTAAAGTTTCCGTTATTAAGAGTCCGAAACGAAGGATCGCGGTAAGGTTTCCGTTATTAAGAGTTCTAAACAATGAAGTGTGCGGTAAAGTTTCCGTTATTAAGAGTCCTAAACAATGAAGTGTGCGGTAAAGTTTCCGTTATTAAGAGTCCTAAACAATGGAGTGTGCGGTAAAGTTTCCGTTATTAAGAGTCCTAAACAATGGAGTGTGCGGTAAGGTTTCCGTTATTAAGAGTCCTAAACAATGAAGTGTGCGGTAAAGTTTCCGTTATTAAGAGTCCTAAACAATGAAGTGTGCGGTAAAGTTTCCGTTATTAAGAGTCCTAAACAATGAAGTGTGCGGTAAAGTTTCCGTTATTAAGAGTCCTAAACAATGAAGTGTGCGGTAAAGTTTCCGTTATTAAGAGTCCTAAACAATGAAGTGTGCGGTAAAGTTTTCGTTATTAAGAGTCCTAAACAATGAAGTGTGCGGTAAAGTTTCCGTTATTAAGAGTCCTAAACAATGGAGTGTGCGGTAAAGTTTCCGTTATTAAGAGTCCTAAACAATGAAGTGTGCGGTAAAGTTTCCGTTATTAAGAGTCCTAAACAATGAAGTGTGCGGTAAAGTTTCCGTTATTAAGAGTCCTAAACAATGAAGTGTGCGGTAAAGTTTCCGTTATTAAGAGTCCTAAACAATGGAGTGTGCGGTAAAGTTTCCGTTATTAAGAGTCCTAAACAATGAAGTGTGCGGTAAAGTTTCCGTTATTAAGAGTCCTAAACAATGAAGTGTGCGGTAAAGTTTCCGTTATTAAGAGTCCTAAACAATGAAGTGTGCGGTAAAGTTTCCGTTATTAAGAGTCCTAAACAATGAAGTGTGCGGTAAAGTTTCCGTTATTAAGAGTCCTAAACAAGGAAGTGTGCGGTAAAGTTTCTGTTATTAAGAGTCCTAAACAATGAAGTGTGCGGTAAGGTTTCTGTTATTAAGAGTCCTAAACAATGAGAACTTTAGTGTTTAGTATAATATATCCATCGTGCTCAATAAACTTTGTTATAAATAATGTAAAGAATAGACATACACAAATTAAATTTTCAAAGTTTAAGTGGGCGGTAAAGTTTCCGTTATTAAGAATCCTAAACAATGAAGTGTAGGGTAAAGTTTCCGTTATTAAGAATCCTAAACGACACGAACGCTATAGTATTATAACAAAATATATACTGATCGCCCACATAAGCAATATATTGATATGTAACAAAAGAGTCACCTTTCCTTTTTATTATGCATTAATACAATGCATTATGCTTATCATCTTTGAAAAAAAACTTTACTGATGGAGATAAGGAGTGGACTACAACACCAGTCAAAGCCTCCACTGTTGTATTGAGTCCAGAACCCAAAACCATGGTATACAGGTTATCATTTTGTCTGAATTTTCATAAACTGCTGTCGTGACTTATTCCTTATCACCACCAGTAAAATCCATACTTCTTCAATTTCAAGAATAAATAACTTTCTTAAAATTTTGCAGAACAATTTAATTGGTGCTTCTTCTATACAGAGACCTGAGTACAATTTATATAGTACAATATCGTTTGAGAATATTGATTAAATAAAGATAATATAAAATTCTACTCATATTGCGCTCAATGACATTTGAATAGTTGCCTCTCAATATAAATAAATGTAGATTTCTAAATTGATTTCTCAAAATTGCAACAAGGAGAACAATCTAAAGAAGAGAAAAAGAAAGTAATATCGATAAAAATTGATTCAAATGAAATACGAAAATAAAAGAAATAATCTTTCCTGTTTTGGCATTAATCATAGAAATGCGAAGGTAAATTATTCTTCTTCCTCAAGTTAAATATTTTTGAACAGTAAAAATTAGCTTTAAAGTTTAATAAATCCATTACACGCACCGTCTAAATCGATGGAATTCTGAATGCAGATTATATTACAAACTAAGAATGTAATTTGTTTTCAGAAAAAGTAAGAAATGAATGTCTTCCAAACTGAAATTTTCACACACACAGATATCAGTCTTTCTAATTAAATCCAAATTAAATTCCAAAGAGAGAATGGTTTCTAGAGTGTTATAAAACAAAATAATGGCGTCAGTATAAATTCCTGGGTACGCTGGTAATGCAGATTCGACCGGAATAGACGAGAATTAGATTTTTCAGCCTACCTTATTGACCTCCATAGGTTGTAGAAAATCTTAATAGAATCTCTGATGAGGAATATCAAAACTTTACATACATCCCTCCAATTCTCTTCATCGTCAGGATCTCAGCGATTTCCCAAATAAAGACCTGTAAGGAAGATTCGCTAGCTTCGATTCAAATACTTAGAGGCTCCAGATATATTCAGTTTTTACACAAAGTTTTAATTTATAATTTCATATGAGAGGCGTACGACTGGAATAACGCGACAGGAAATATAAAAATTGATTAATAACAAAATGAAAAGAGATAAATAAATATAAAGTGAAAATCGATAAGAGAGAAGCTCTTTGGGAGAAACCCAGTTTCATGGGAAAGATATTGGCATTTTTTAGGAATTTATTGCTGGCTTCACCCCAGTTAGCCGTCTTAGATTGAGAAAACAAACTATAATTGAATTGAGACGTATCATTCTGATGAGAGTTTGCTGAAAGGTGAATAGACCAAAGCAATAAATGTATTGTCTGAGGTTATGATATCATCCGCTTCAGTTTATCTACCAACATTATGTACAGAAATATGCTTTCCGTTTATACGTAAACCTACTATGTTAAGACATATGTATCTTCACATAGAATCTTAACTTCTACTTCAAATTCTCACTAAACTACCAACACATTGAGCAGGGTATTGTCTTTCTGCGTGCTTGAGATGACTATAAGAAATACTGCTAATAATTTAATAACTACTTTCTCTTCCGATTCCTAAGCAAATAGCATAAACGCTGTAAGAATTTATTATTAATCAAATGATCGTTAAAGATATATTAACTTTTCAAATATCCTTATAAAGTAAAAGCAATAAATAGACTGGGGGATCAATAAATGGACTGGGATATGCAAATAAAGGTTTGAAATGTAATAAATCAAATGTAGGACAATACCGCTCTTTCTATACATGTGCATAGGTAACTATACTTGTATGTAGGTAATGAATGCATAAGCGCGAATTTTTCTTTTCCGAATCAAACAAAATTTCTACTTTCCTTCGTGCGATGATAATTTGTAAGTATCTTCTTAATATTAGGTTCATATTTGATATATCGGACGCGATATCCCAGCTTGGGATACTTACGCCTAAATACATTTTAGCAACTTATATACACTTCCTTTATATACAATTAAAATAAACAAGACTAAAACCAAAATTAAAACTGAAAGGAAAATATGTGTGAGTGAATTCAATAAGCATATATGTGTTTTTATATTTTAAAAGCTTTGTATTCAAACCGGGATGAAACAGGAAACAACGTGGAGCTCTCGCATTAGGTCTCTATTCAATCTTAAAATTGATTTTTTGGTAGGTTTTGGCTCGTAAATACAAGAATGCTCAAGATAAAAATCTGAAATCTTGAAGCACAATCAAATGCTTCAAAATATGTTCATAGAAATCCTTACAAAAAGTTTTCAAATTGAAACCTTGCATCACAGAAAGGCATCTATTTATATAGATAGATGCTAAACTAAGGTCAAAGTTTTATTATACGCCGGAGTTTTATCTTGTTGTATCATGGCTAATGCAGCTATTTTATTTTAATTTGTAATATAATTTTTGATATATTTTAAAATCAAATTTACATTTATATTTATTTATATATTTTATTAAACAGAATATATATATATTATAAAGAGATTTATATATTATAAAATCACCATTTGTATTTTGGTACATTGTGTGACTTCACTGCTCTCTTTGATGTGAGAAATAAATAAATTATTCTGGAGGCTACTTAAAGTAGAGTTATCTCATTATTCCCTTATATAAAGTTGTAGGATGGTTGAGACACGCTCTGGTAAGATACAAGACCCGGCACAGGAGAGAATCAAGGTTGAAGAGTCTGCCAAGCCGCAACCTGTTGCAACAATATCATCACCACCTCAAAATATTAACAAATTGGAACTAAGGCTGGATTCATTTAAACAACAAGATAGTCAGTATTTTTTTAAGCCCGTTGAAGAGCGATTATCGCTTGAAAGCTAGCAATTTAAAATTAAAATAAACTCATTGTGAGGAAATATTTTGTAATTTTAAAAGGTTTTCACAATTTCATCATGAATAGACAGAAATATATTGGATATTATAGATATTTCACCAGAGAGGGACTAAAGGAGCCGTGCTACATTGAATAAGTACCACGCTTTACTCCTTTCTGTTTTTAAATTATAGCTGTAAATTAAAAATTATCATCAAGAACTAATTTCATTGCCTTTCAGAATCATTTATTAATACATTTTTCAAAATATTTCAATAATATATTAGACATATTTCAATGCAATTCTACTGTCCTATAAGCTTATGTCCATA